GGGGGGGGGGGGGGGGGGGGGGGGGGGGGGGGGGCTTGAAAGCGCTTCCTCTTCCTGTGTAACCGCAGCTGATACCGAAGGTTGCATACGTAAGGTACCAGCTCGACTACTCCACGACGAAGAGGACGTACCAGCTACACACCAAACGGTGATACCTTGACGGAAAAACTCTCGACGAGAGGGTAGTTCCAACGCCTCCATTTTCGGCGCCGCCACCCTCCGCGCTGTTGACGGCCGCCTTCGCGCGATGAATCAATTTACGAGGGAATGGAACGGGAAGGGGGTACGCAGAACCTATTCCCCAAACCCTAACCCAACTTCCCCGATTGCATGCTTCAGAAAAGCCCTGACAAGGCTACTGGGAGCCGGGCCGTGTTTGGGGTGGGGTCGTTCGAGCGGGGAACGCATGGACAGGCTCGTCAACGGACTTGTCCTGTCGTGCTTTCGTGTGACAAACAGAGGGTCACATGTTGATAGTGTGAGAGTTGCCCCCTGACCCTCCATGTTGTTTCCGGTCTCGTTGTTGCCTAAAAGGGCATCGATAGACCGATTCCGTCTGTCCATCGGTATCCCGTTGGAACCAACCGGGCTTCAGGCAGATCTTGTGCCGATTGTGCAGCGGTATTCACGACCGGGCCTTCGATACAATCCCATGGGAACCACTGGTGTTTACGCAGACCCAGTTCAATTTGTCTAGCGGTATCCGATAGGAACAAACTGGACGGGCTGCGGGCGCTTTCCCGAATCAAACAACCAGTAACAGCGCCGCTGGATAGCTTCGCACACGCCTCCACCATGGCCTCAAATAGTCTAATGGTTGAGACTGCGTTTCAAATAATAGCTCCTCTCGTGGGTTAGAAACGGCCGCTGTATAGGTTCAACAGTGGGGATTCTTTACTAGGCTCACGAGTGGTGTTCAGAGTTTTTATCTAGTCTTGAGCTTGTCGAGGCTACATTTATCCATTTCTCTCAGCTGCCAAGTTCTTGAGGTCGGGTGCTACCTGTTAAAGCCATAATCACCGGCGGCAACAATGTGAGCGAATCTCTCTTTTCCCGATGCCCCGTCTCATAAAATAAAGGGCAACTACTGTGCTGCTGTCTTCACAATACCTTGAATACTGTTGTTTCCACAATTTACCAGATATGAAACAAGAAGCAACATCCTGCCGGCCACCAACCCAAGTTGCCCGCCAAAAAGGCAAAAACACTGAGAGAGAGCGATGAGTCATCTCAACTTGAAACAACAACGAACCCTTGTGTCCGCCAAATAAATGAGAGTGCGCGAGTCTTGGTCCCATCAATTCTGGCGCCGGTTTACGGGCCTCGGCGTATTTACCCCTGACGCATCAGTCGGGGTCACACAAGAGAAAGGTCACACAGGGCCTTTTCACTCTTCTTGCTTTTGTTTCATCGCCCCTCTTTTCTTTCCCCCTGCAGTGCTTGGCCTTGGTTTGTTTTCAAGCCATCCCTTTCTCTCCTCGACCGTCAAGAAGCCGAGGAGCAGAAAGCGGCGAAATTTACACACTTGCCGAATATGACACAAGATAACACACCCCCTGTACCAATTTTCGAACCTCGATTACGCCATGACGAAGAGGATGCACGAACGAAACGATACATTTTTGGGAGAGTGATGGACGAGACAGCTACAACGCCACCGTTTTCGGCACTGCGACTCTTTCTGCTGTTGAGAAATCCGCATTTGAACATAACGCACGGCGAAATTCCCACACTTCATCAAACGAGCAAGAAAAAAAAAAGATTCAAAACCCAGAGAAACTGAACACTAACCTGCCCCTACCTGTACTCCGGCGCCGCCGTCCCGAACACTACAATAGCGAGTGATGAGAGCAGGGAAGGCACGGACCGCAACTGCCTTCAAAGACCGGCCAAAAGAGGTGAGGCATTGGATACTTCCTCTGCAGAGAAGGTATTGTTCCTCTGCGAGGGAAGTCGACCGCGAACGGCGAGCCATCAACGGCGTCTCGGGGAGCCCCGCACGAGAGGAAGAACGGAGGAGGGAGACACCTCCATCTGACCGCACAAACAAAAATGATTCTCTTCCCCTCTCGTTGTATAGACCTTCATCAACACATGCATCATCCCCCTTGACCTTTCTGTGGGACTATCTCGAAAGGGTAGTCTTTTCTTTTGATTGTATGACATGTACGCATACATTTTCTACACAAAGAAAAGGGCACTCTTCCTTCTTGGCACAAAACAAAAAGAAGTGAGAGGTAGACTAACCTGCCCCTCCTCAGGCGCCGCCCTCCCTGCCGCCGTCCGCCTCAATCCCCGTCCCCTCCCCCTCCCGCCCCCGTTCCCGGATCCCCACTTCCTGGAGGCCCCGGCGGCGCCGGCGGCCTTGCCCCCCCACCCCGCCCTCAGGTTCCGCCGCATCCACCTCAGCGGAGAGTTCCTCAGGGGGGACGACGACGACAGGAGCGGGCCGCCGGCGTCGGGGTCCTCCCCCGCCCTGCCGCCGCCGTCGACGCCTTCTTCGCCGCCAGCCTCCGGGGGAGAGCCGGGCTTGCTGCGCCGCCCTCTCCGAAGGGACCGCCGATCACTGCAGCAGCGGTTGGTACCATGGGGAAAAGGGGGAGACGGATTGGTTGATAAAAGGTTAAGTGGGCGGCAGTACAGCAGTGTCATTAAGGTTTTGGGAGCGGCAGGAGAGCGTTGATTGAGGGAACCAATGGAGAGTTGGTTCACACGACGGTGGGGGCAGCACCTGATGGGAGGCGCGCCCAGAGTCTCCCACAAACCAGCGCTCTTTTGCTTCCATTTCTTGGGAAAATCAAAACGTGCGATAGGCCGGACGGAGCCCCGCCAAGAGACGGAGCCCCGCCACTTTAGCAGCAGAGCCTCGCCACTTTAGCAGCAGCAGCAGAGGCAGGAGATGCCGTGCGAGCCAGACGAACAACAGAAAACACCTTGATCCTCCACTCACCGAAAAGCCTTCACAACACACCCCTTTCGACTACCGTGGTTACATCTCGAACAAATAGTCCGTGAGATTATGCATTTTTAATCAAAAAAAAAAAAATGCTCTTCGAGAACACCTACAGAACGACACACCTCCCATCCGGCCTCTGCGCGTCGAGCCGCCAATTCCGCCGGGGTTCGTCCCCGCGGCCGCCCCCCGCCCCGTCGCCACCACCCACCCCCGACCCCATTGCCCCCATCGCCCTCCCAGCGGCGCCCCCGTCACGCAACGTTCGGTGTGGTCCTTCGGAGCTGAACGAAGGACGCAACACCGCCGACGACGATGACGGTGGCGGCGACGACCAGCCCCCCCTCACTCTAGCGCCATCCGCGGGGCCCCCCAGCCCTGAACCACCCCCGCCTAGCCCCTGCCGCGATTCGATTGTTTTGTGAGGCGACACGCGTTGTTGTTGCTGTTGTTGCTGTTGTTGTTGTTGTTGTTGTTGTCGGGAAGAAACACGTTATCTCGGTCGGGTCACGCGGGGGGTGTAGGGAGGCTAAAAGGCGTCACAACACGGTAGGTTGCGTGACGCAAGATATCACACCCCCTGAACCAATGTTCAACGCTCGATTACTCCATGACGTAGAGGATGCCGAAAATGAAGGAAACGGTTTCGGAAAGCTCTCGACGAGACGTTTCCAACGCCTCCTGTTTTTCGGGACCGTCGCTACTTTTTCTGCCGAGGTATCGAGCTTTGGAAAATCGGTCCATGGGGGTTGACATCTTATGCAACCCAAGGTAAGAGACCACAACTGCGTCACAATTCGGGTACTAGGGTGGCGACAGGTGTCAAAGCGATCGCCGACAACCGGGTCACAACTCGGGTACAGTAGAGGGGTGTGTGCCGAAACTTCAGTGGCACTAACCCGGACATCGGCACTATTCAAGGTACAGATCGACTTGGTTTCAAGTGTGTGAGCCGAAAACACCGGCAATATTCGACCGGCACCAAACAGGTACCTCAACTCTATAGGGGTGGGGACAAGTGTCAGTGTAATCGCCCACAACAGTGAAGATTTTGAGGACGTACATCCCGATGGAAGGGGGGGGGGGGGGGGGGGGG